AATAATTTTCAAAAATAATAAAATGTTTGTTATATTGATCGGTGGGAATGACAATGGATCTAAAAATGGCAATAGAGAAATGTTAGGGTAACACTTATCAAGGTTTTTCGATATCTTAGGGACTCTGTACTCATACAATCTTGATGCTTAAATTTTTAGCTTAAATGGCTACAAAAAATAATTGTATTTTCTAATAGATCACCTTCATTGTACTCGAAGGTGCAGACAATTGCAAAGATGTTGGATCACATCTCAATTTTAATCTGAAGAATTTATTCACATTAAGAAAGAAAATCATTTTTTTACCTTTAGTTCTCAGTTTTATTATTTATTTTTATATTTTTGATAATAAGCATATTTATTTCTAGAATAAGCATATTTATTTATATGACATCCGTTTTAATTGTAGGCCATTATCAGTTATCGTTACCTGATAGTAATGATGCATTTATATGCTAGTTAGCAATCGATTTCAATTGTCATCCTCATGATGGTCCAACTTATTTCGATTAAAACTTGTCCTTTGTCAACAAACATAAATACATTAAGCGACTAGTACAACGAGTGGTTAGTCAAGTAACTTGCAGAGTTTGTTAGCCATTGAAGTGGAGCGTCATTACTAACATATTGGTCATGCGGAAGACCAGCATCATAGTTAATACTCCAGACTTCAAGTGAAAGCTTCATCAGCAGCACCTGCTTCAGGTACGAGGGCTCGCCACAAAATGTCCTTTATAAGCCACACTGCAATTTCATGCAAATGCCTGCTATGTTCAGGCAAAAGTTTGACACATCAACTACTTCACGCTTTTAATTAGCAAAACCAAATTTTAACTTGGACGTTAACGTGGACGTGGATGCAGTGGCTGTTTGCATGAAGCAAAGTAAGCTACTATTCGGATTTTCACTGAAGTGCGCACAGGTGAATTTTGCACCGAAATATTCATAATTATGATGTGTCCTTACGTTGCTTTGATGTGTACAAGGTTTCCGGATGTACTTTCATGGTTAGCATTTTGCAACTGCTTAAGTATCTTCACATTTTAAAAAAGATTTGTACGTTTTTGGTAGTTTTTATTTGATTTTAATTTCTAGCACTTTTGAATAATGTGTAAAATAGTATATTTAAGTCAAATAAAAGTCTTTGGACTTATGCTTTACGTATTTCTTAGAGTTTGTTAAAAATATACACATATAATTTTTAATATGAATTATGCGACGGATAAATACGCGTTGCGGTGACAATGGTTATCTATGCAATAACATCCATTGGCCGATCGCATACAATTCTTATTCTAATATGCTTGTCAAGCACTTAGGATAATGTGATATAACTTTGAGAAAGATATTATAATCAATTCATAACTATAGTTATGTCACTGCCAATGAGAGAGAGAGAGAGAGCTTTGGTGTGGTCTATAACTGGACGTTATAAGCTTGCTAATATTAGAAATTGGCACTTCAATACCTTGTGTTTATGTTAAGTTGATCATCGTAACACAAATAATTATATGAACACTGTTAGAATATACGAAAATGTTTTCTAATCCGAATAAATGTTAGGTTAGGTTTAAGAGTGAGTCAGCGGCAAGTTCCACGTAGACCGCCTATGGCTCTGTTGCGTTACTCTAAGTCAAATTATTTTAAAATTTGTATATACATATATCTTAAAATATGTATTTTTTTGTAACTTTAACTTAACATATGTCGAATTTGTGTTTCAAATATTAGAAGGTTCTTGTAGAATTTGTATCTCATAGACGTGTCTTGTGCAGAAATTCGTTGCCAGCAATTCATTCAAGTCTAGCATTTGAGACAAAATGCTGGATCAATTATATTATTTAATCATATTATGATCCATTCCTATATAAATATAGTTAAAACACTAATATAAAAATACTACTGTTGGTAAAATTAAAATGAAGTAACTTAAAAAATAAATCAATCATTTAATAAATTAAATTAAAAATAGTCTATATAATTCAGTCATAAGATAAACTCAGGATAAAACTGAGATTCACTCAGTTTTAGTTTAAACATATTTTTGAGTATTTTAAGAATTTTCGGTCAGGTTTTTTCAGACATATTTTTCATTTCCACTTAGATTGCTGGATTTTTTATTTGTAACTATTGCAGAGTCAAACATTTCAGAGATACATTTTATATGATTCTCGTGTTTTATCGCTGCAAATGAATACATACATAGGTGGCCACGTATGTAAGTTTGCGTTTTATGTATCTTAGCCGTAGTGTACATATTCATTTATATTTTATTCAATGAACAACGCAACCATTAAATCGAACTCAATAAATGGCAGACAACATCTATTTGTGTCGATAAGTGTGTTTATATGTATTTCCGGTCCGTGTCTGTGTTGATTTCCTCTAACGAAAAAGCCAACAGAAGCGTGGGTGACTTTATTATTTTGACGCGAATTTCATTGAATTGCTAAATTGAACTTTTTCATTAACTTTTCTTCACAAACATATCCTTTTTATTATTTTGCCTCCTTCTTTTATATACAATTGTACAATTGTACATATCACAAATAAACATTCGAGTATTTGCGAATACTATATGTTTACATATAGCTTTGTTGACTTCGTTGTTGATCTGTGCGTATGCGTGTTATTCTTTTTTAATGAAGTCTTGTCACTGCGGTCACAGAATCAAACACATCAAAAACATTTTCCAACTAAATTATTCCCCAATTTGTATAAAAGCCGTAAGCAGTAGCGCCACCGCGTATTCAACTCACAACTACAACTGCTACAACTTCAACAATGAGGAGGATAACATAAGGACTTATATATCTTCACATAAAACTGACTGAGCACACAACACACAAATCTTGTGGTTAATATTGTGGTTTCCCAAATTGAAATCGACAAATTTTGTCCAACTCCTTTGCTGCGCTTCCGCCTCCTTCAAGGAAAGCTTAAAATAAAGGAGAGTGAAGAAAAACTGAAAAACAAAATCTGTCCGCCCTTGCATCAGTATAGGCATCGGCATCGGCATCGACACCGACACCGACATCAACATCAGCGTCAACGCTAGCGCATAAGTTTGGGGAAGTTAGTAAATTTGGCAGTAGAATTGTTGGCTCAAAGTTTTGTTTATTGTTCTTTGAAGTTTTTGAGTAACTTAAGTTCGGCAAATGCTGCATTCAGGGCAGAGTTTCGAAGCTGGTAGCTTCCAAGTTGGGTATTTATGAAAGTGTGCCATCAATAATCCCAAGTAGCATGTTTCACGGTGTTTATCTGCTCGAAGCGAATTTGCATAATGCATACGACTGCGACTTTTGAATACTTAAGAAAGTTTTTATGCCAGAAGTAGCCGAACTCACTTCGAATTTATGGCTTTTATGGCAAATGTATTTCTGAGATTACTGCCATCGTCTTGGTTTTCTATTCTACTCTGCTTACTGTCGTGGTCCGCTTGCTCAATGACACTAGAAATCAATTTAAAATGTGGGTTACATTTTATTTATCCAACTATGTATTTTTTTATTGTTTTCATACAGGAAACTTTCATAATATGCCCGCCTGCGTAATGACATATTTGTCCAATACTTCATGGTTTTCAGCCTCTGTTGTCCTTGGTTTGTGCCATATGCTGCTTACATTGCTGAGATACAAATTTGTTGGGTTCTGCATTTTCCCGTTGCTGTGCTTTATTCCTTTAATTAACAATAATTGTAACAGCTGACGTTTGAGTTTAATCCAACGAGACTATTTACACAGCACTGTTGCATTAACAATAATTAAGTACCCATACGGAACCCAACAAACTCTAAGTGCACTTTCGCATTGAAATTTTCACTTTGCTATCCGAATATACAATAAATATTTATTTATTATTATAATTTAAGAGCCAATTTATAACTGATAATTAATTAAATGCAGCGAATGCTGCAGAGTTTGCGAAATTAAAAACAAATAAGATTGGAAAGAGAAGTGGAATATAATTATTTCTGTCAATTAAATATAATTATTCTTACTCATAACTCTACGAGACGCAATGAATATTCAAATATGCAAAAACTCAGCTTCCAAATTTCAACTGAATGCCATCGCGCATCGCCTGTAGACCATCTTCATTAGGAGTCCAAAATGTTTCTTGTGAAAGAACATAATCGTTTCTTATGTGTAGACCGTTTTCGACTCTACACCTACTTTTAGTGATTTTCTTGGTACGGCGCGTAAGCAACGTCTATTTGCGATATCGCACAACGTCATTATTTGCGCTTAAGTGTGTTATGATGTTACTAAGCTACCATTCCAAACTTAATTCAATCTAACAAAATAAACAGTTGCACATCCTAATGGCGCAACGATAAGAATTGCTCTCCTCCAAGTTACATAATCAACCATTTTCTTTGTATCATGAATACGTTGATATGAAATCAGTATGATCTAGTACAAAAGAGGGACAACTGCACTCGACACAGGACTAGTGACTTCTTCACGACCACGTTTGCATTTCAAGAAAGTTCTTAACGTGGCTAATATCTCTGAAGACGAAACATGCCTTCCATGTGAACAAGAACTGTCAGTTCAGGTTTCTTGTCACTTATAAATATGTCAATTACTAATGTGTGACTCAACTATAGTTCTGCTCCTGTTTTCTTGGCCAAATTCAGAAGCTAATTGAATTCCTTTGGCTTCTGTTGAAATGTCTAAATTATTTCACTATTATTCAGGATAATTTCAATTAGCACGCACCCACACCCTTATATCACTTCCATCACATGCAACCCGTTTTCTCACCTCTTGCCTTCCTCAACAGTCTAGTCTATCCCATTTATTGAACATATATTATCCCTTCGTGTTTACTGAACCGAACGCATTCGTCTACCTCGTCAATTCTTTGGCATTTGGCCGCTCAAAAGACATTTCTACGTCTTTTTATTTATTAAAACTCTGATTTTTTTATTATATGATTAAATTTATTATTATATAACATAAAACCTTTATTTTTATTAAAGTACAATATTTAATTACTTAGACAGATTCACCATCGTCTGTGTTTTTTTAAGCACTTCGTAGGTTTTCATTTCTACCTCTTCATCACCAATTGGTAAATAAATACAGCCGTGTGCTGAATACACTTTGCCAATACTCAAACTGCCGGCATAATAAGCACGACCTATAAAAAGTATGTCGCCATCAGCTGTATATACGTTTGCACCAGTCAAAACTTGAAACTTTTCCTCTTTATGTTGTTTCGAATTGCAATTTACAAAAGCGCCACCTTTGTTGGGTATTACTTTTGCAAGCATTGAACTACCATTTTGAAAAACACTGTCCACAAATGAGAGATCGCCATCTGCAGCGCACCCACATTCTATAGCGTCTTTGGGCATCGAATTGATAGTGGCATTAACCCATTTGTCTACCAGTATCTCATAATTTGTTATCTTGATTTCTTTAGAAACATACTGAACAAAGAGACAGCTTTGTGAAGATTGTACTTTGCCTATATATAAAGCACATTTGTAATAGCCGCAGCCTACGTAAAGACTCTCACCATTAAGTGTGGTGTCCCATTGAACAGCAGTTATAGGAACACCATTCTTTGGAGCTTCTACCCATTCATAATGTAACCCGTCAAGCGCTTCGTAGTCATTAATCTCAATTTTCTTATTGGTACACCAAACCAATGTTTTGCTTTTGTCAGGCGTTACGTTAACAGGTAAGAAATCGTTATCAATTTTCACACGTCTGATATATGTTGTATTGCCATCAATATCATTTCCACCTGCAACGTCTAATCTAGGCAGAGCACCACTGAGACATGTCACCATTCATGTTCTAAAAAAAATAATTAAATATAGTTGTGCCTTATTACTGAAAAAATCTTGTTTATTTACTCATTTTATTTTTATTTTTATACTTCACAGGAAATAATTGGTGATGAAATATGTCCGAGTCAACATAGTTTGACAAATGTAGTCTAAAATACTTAATCTTTTTTTTTTTGAAATATCGGTGTTGTTTTGCTTATAATACCATTCATATTTTTTTTGCTTATCAGTTTCATCACATTTGCAAAAAATGTTTAAATTAGTATCTAGAATAGATTAGCTGCAAAAACACTTGGCATTTCAGTTATTTTCTTCTGATCGTGCTAACACTTTTGCAATAAAAACGTTATGTCAAAAATTATTGTCAAAGTTAATATTCTACGACATTTATTTTTGATTTTCGCCGTTATCACGGCGAATAGAAATGGTGATGCCAGATGTGCATAATACTGTGTAGTTACACTATGCTTTTCTAAAGGATGGAGATTATGTTTTCGGCAATATTTGTATTTGGCTCAAAATATTACTTCGCATTAAAAAATTGACAAACGAAAACACAAAAATTGACGTTTGAACAAAAACAACAACAAAGTCGTAGCATATAATAATGCTACTTTGAACACTACTTTAAAAATTTGTATAAAATATATCGACAATGTGCGATTTTTATTAAATATTATGCACTTTTGGCAGCTCGCAAGGGTGGCAAAAAAGCAATCAGTTGCTGGCCTATAGGCGCTAAGCGAGACATTGCCATCGCTGTTGCAATCTGTCAAATTATCAATCTGTTGCAAATTACATTTTGTGTAAAAATAAATAATTAATATAAAATTGAAAATGAAAATGAATAATGAATTTAAAGCAATATTAAGAAACAGGAAAGATTGAAATTTTCTTTAACAACAAAATTAATAATAGTTTAGAATATTTATGTAGCTAATATATCAAAAAAATTTAAATAATTATACTTTCTTCATGTACACCTATAAATTTTTGAATATTAATATATACATATTGTTAAAATATTTATTTTCTACAATTTTGCATACTTTTAAACATTTAATTCCACAATTATCAAATTTAAAAAACTTTTTAATTTTGTTTGCATTTTTGTTTACAAACTTTTGACATATGATTTATTGAAATTTCTAATGAAGGTTCACAATAGTTCGCTTATTGTGTTGGTAACACTTTTTTTAGTGGCCAAAGTGTTTGGCCAATTAAAAAACTAGGTGCTTAGACAGAGCAAGTACTGTTGTTGTTTTGCGTACATTTAAACAACTATAGACCAGCTGTTTTTTTGTCACACGTACGAGCTGCTGAAAGCACCTATTGATGGTAGTAGCCGGCCCTTTTTTGATATTATTCACATTTTGCAAAAGTCATATACTGTAATTGAGATATTTTTGGCATATAAGAACAACTTACAAACTTTGTTTCTGAATAATATTTTTCCGCTTAAAGTATATACTCAAAATAGATCGATCATTTTTAGGTAATGTTAGCGTTTCCTAATTTTATGTAATCACTTTAGAGACAATACGTAATTTGAGCTCAGTGAATACATGTCCTTTTGATGTTATCATGTATAATGATTGTAGAATAAGCACTAATAGTTTGTATGTACGTGTTGTTGCAGTGATATGGAAATGAATATGAATATCAAAATCTTTTTCAGATCTTTCCACACCTAAATATTGGCTTAAAGAAAAGTACACACTTTGTAAAATTAATACATTGCTTTTGCTTAAACATTCCAAACATGGAAGCAAAATACGAATTGTGTAGTAATCGTTCTTTATATAGCGTAAAAATATATTTATAAAGAAGTCCTACTTAAGGTAATTAAGTCCTACTATAATCTGCAACCTGATTTAATTGGAGTGCATTTGCAATGTCGAAATAATGGTGTGCCAGAGAAAATTGTTTAGTTATAGTATCAGCATAATTAACTCTTCATTGTTAACTTTGATTATAAAAAAAAGAAGATACACCTTTTTCTTTAAAAACAAATTAAGTCTTTTAATTCAAACATCATAGACAATTTTTTATTTTAAATGATACAATAATCACTAGTTTATAAAACTAATGGTTTTCTATCAAACCTACGTTCTTACTAGCACCTCGTAACTGCTTGCCTGTATTTCCTCACCTCCAAAGGGTAAATAAATACAACCATGCGATGGATGTATTTTACCAATACTTAAGCTACCGGCATGATAAGCACGACCTACATATAAAGTTTCACCATCGGCTGTGTGACCTGCTGGAATAGCACCAGGTACAATGCTACCATTATCGCAGGATGTCCACAAGAAACCAGCTCCAGCTAAAACCTGAAAATTTTCGACCTTGTGTTCCTCCGAACCCCAGCACACATATGCACCACCTTTATTAGGTATAACTTTTGCGGGCATTAAGTCACCATCTTTAAAAACACGTCCAACATAAATGACGTCTCCATCCGCATCGCGTCCCCCTTCTAAAGCACCTTCGGGTATAGAGTCAGCAGTCGCATCAATCCATTTGTCTGGTTGCACGAGTACTTCATATTCAGTTAACTTAATTTCATCAGAGCCATATGGTATATAAAGACAACCATGTGAAGGATGTACTTTACCAACGCATAAGCTACCTTCGTAATAACCACGGCCAGCGTATAAAAATTCACCATCAATTGTACGACCTACCTTAACAGCCGCCGCAGGTACATTACCATTTGAAGAAGGTATCCATTCATAATGCAATCCACTGAGCACTTCATATGTATCTATTTCCTCTTCATTACTGCCATAACAAACATAGGCCTTACCTTTGTTTGGTATTACCTTAGCTGGCAATAAATCGTTATTAAATTCTGCACGTCCAATATAAATTGTGTCTCCATCTACGTCGTGACCGCCGACTACAGCTAACGATGGTACCGCGCCATTCGCACATGCCACCCACTTGTGCTCTATAGAATGTACGACAATTAAAAATTTGTTACTTTGGTTCTATTTAATCGAAATTTACTTATCCATTTCGACTTACCCATTTCTTTTTCTTTTCAGACAATTGCACAGGTAACGAGCGAGGTTACAATAATACTGAGTCAGTATATTTGCCAGTTAAGTTTAAGACGTTATCTTTTTGAAAATGTCGGTGATATTTTAATCGTCAGATACTCATAATACCCATTCTTACATATCAGTGAGTGTGTTTTCGTTATTATGGTGAGGAGGACTGCCGTTGTAGATAAAATGTTATCGTCTAAATAAAATTCAAATTTATGATCATAAAAGTGAATTAGTTTAAGTTTGTTGTTGGTACCCGACGCATATTTACTAAAAATTATTAATAACGTTTTATATCAGCGATTATCAGAATTTCATACTAAGCGAGATAAGAACTTACTTTGTCTCAATTGATGAAATTCGGGAGCTAAATGCTACCGGGACTTTTCTACAAAGATAAGCCATCATGCGGTCTTTAATTAGTTCAATAACTACTACTTCTAACGCTTAGTAGTTAGGTAATAGCGTTGTTAATTATCGGATGTATTGTTTAGATTGTGTTGATCAATGCGAGATACATTTTGGGTCATTATTTCAGTACTCGCATATGGCTTCTATGTATGATATGTAATATTGTATATTAGAAGTTGATTACCGGAACAGGAGACATAGCCTACATATTTTAATCAAATAGGCACATTAATTTGTATATTCTGGTTGATTATATTTTAAATCTCCAAAGATTAGATAATTATTTAGTGAATGAATTGTTTACTTTATTACAATTTATACTTAGAGTACAATTTTGAACCCCAATAATTTCGAGGAAATTGTCAGCTTTGAGTTACAAAACGCAATTGCTTGCGGGAATAGATAAATCCTTTGCCGAAGCGATAGCAAATGCACAACCACTAATTCCCAACTGAAAACTATTGCCGAGCCACATAAGACTTGCACTTCCCGTTCAGATTTACAAGGATTGCTACATCGGCCGGATTAAATGCAAATTAAAATAAATTTCTCATGAAGCATTGAGGGAGTTTCACACGTGGAACAAAGCTGCGATGTAGGTTAACGCCAACTAATGAAACACAGGCAGTTGGGTTACATGCAGAAAACTGCATCCGTTTTATTTCCCATTAAACTTAATAAATAAATATGCGATGGTGAAAAATTTTATGTAAAATTTACGATTCGCTGCCGCGAATTCGCGGTGATAAATTAAAAATGAAAGACAGTTTCATGTTCCTGCGTGAATGACCCAACAGGCAAATGCACTCGCTTTTATTTAAGTGGAAAGCATCAAAAGATGCAATGTGAGACTTTAAACACTAAACCCAAATTATAGAAAAAAATAATGGAAATTATTCTCGTTGGACGTTAGAACATTTTCGGAAGTTTATTCCGGTAAGCAGACGCAAAAATAGAAGATAATAGCCCTAACTTATAAAAATCTAAATTATATGTATGAACGGCAGTAGAGGGGATGGTTACGCTTATGACGAATTGTGAGAATCACAGGGAGATTATTAGGCATGAGCTCTGTGACTGCAATTGTTAAAATTGCGGTTACAAGTCGCGTTGATTGCGGGAACGGATTATATCTGATCGAAGTAGAGTGAGGGCTTGTGCTCCATACAGAAGATCACAGTAATATTTTTCGTGATATATAATAAGTTGGCAAATAGATTTATACAATGATTGCTAGTTTTAGTATACCTGAACATTTAAATTATATAAAACTTCAATATATATTTCAAAATCTTACTAGTATTCTGGAAAAACTTCTATAGTTACAATTAAAATGAAGTATGGTATTCAGGAATACTCGTTAGCTCTTTCCGTACATGTGTTTCTGTAAACGCATTGGTTCCAAGTTACCAACGTATTAGGTCTAATAATTTTCCCGGTATTTATATGAGCAGCCACTGATGCTTGTTGTTGTTGTTTACTGTATTGATTACTTGAGGTACCGAATAACCGAGCATGTCTTAATATCCCTAACGGTTTATACGTAAGTTTGCTTACTGGGTCTTTAGTTTCTGTGCGGCTCTGCGTGAATTTCTCGGATTTTGCAAGGAAAGAAAGGTAAAAATAAATGGCAGAAACGCTTTTTACGTACAGAAAACACTTTTTAGTGCATCGTACTTTCAGCGTTTAAGGTTTCTGATTATATCAACTTAATTTTAATCCTTTATTTATTTAAACTTTAAAAACAACAATATTATTGACTTTATTGTTTACTTAACTCTTAAGTTATCAAATTATGAGGTCAGACGCATGCTGCCTACACTGTGAGTGTTCCCTGTTGGAGTTAAATAGGAAGAATGCTAGCTTCTTGTAGAGTCGAAAGTCATTGTAAAGGCGTTAGTCGCATGTTACTTCTTAAACAGAAGTAGTGGTGGATAGGGGAGACATGCAGTGAACTACACCAAATGTTTGCGTGACAATTTCTAAAAGCCTGTAGATATGCACAGCATTAAACCACTTGCACTGTGTCTTCTCAAACAATGAAGCCAAGACAAAAGTTGGCACAAAGACGCACGAGTAGCAGTGAACTTTAGCAGAAAGCAGCAACATGAGCAGGCATTGTAACATGCGAGTGACTCCTGTACGGATTAGCAGCATGTGTACATATGTATGTCCGCGCATACCTATCACTGTGAGGTAAGGGTGCAGATTTTTATTTACGAGCGTTGGATATGAGTTAACGAAATTCTTGCGGTGACAATGCGGAAACATTTTTCTTTTCACTACAGCTGTGACAACAACAAATACAAGAAGAACAATAGCAACAATCGCACATTAGCCTGCACTTGTGTAATTAAAGCTGCCGCCACGCATAGTTGGAAGCACAAAAACCCAGTTCGGCGGTTGGTTGGTGGCTCTCTGTTGCCACTTGGCAGCCAATGAGCTTCATGATTTCCTCTTAAAGGAAACGTATTTTGCATTTGGGTGCGTGCATATCAAGCAGTGTGTGAAACTGACATGTTTCCTTTGTTAAAAATTCCTGAAAAGGATAATGTTTTTTTTTTTAAATTTATTTTGTGTTTATTTAAGCGTACAACACTTAAGCTGTTTTTGTTATAAATTTATTTTAAATGCATTTAAATTAAGTTTATTTACATTCATTTAACTATACAGTACTTAGAAGACAAGCACCAATTTTTTATTTATTGGCTTGTCCTGCTTTGTTCTGGTTGTGGATATATACTAGATACTGGAATGCACCTAGTAATTTTGTTAATTTTGCTACTAATTACACCCTAGTAGCTAACTAGCATTTGTAGCTCCTTCATTGTTTCTGATATCCTCATTGTTTCCTGACTGCACTGGCATTTTAGCCAAGAATTATGAATACATGGAATTTTTGTGAGTACGAAGCACTTTAATGAGAATTTAATGGAATGAAATTAGATTAGTTAAGTACCATTTTGTAATGATTTAATCAATTTTTTAATGAGCAAAATTTTACATAATTAGAATATCAAAAGAAACTCATTACAAAAAATAACTAAATTCAACAAAAGATGCAACTTTTGAACTAATGAGTCTCAAGAACTATCACAGAGTTCCAAACATACTTTTGCACTTAATTGTTAGATTACACACATTTAAAAAATAAAACAGTTCTAAATATTAAATTTTTTTTTGTATTTGAAGAGATACGTTTTAGTCTAATCATTACAATTATAATGAAAATGACTTCGATACTTTTGGTTAAAGATATTTGGTCAAGTATCTTCATAGTATTTTATGAAAGTTATTCACAAAATTAATCTCACATATTTTCTAGTATTTATATTAAAATATATTTTTCACAAGAGTGTCCTTGATTTTTTTAATGATTAGTGATTAATGATTAGAATGAACCATTTCTTGGACTGTAGTTGGAGCATTTGGAACAAGAACCAAATAAGCAAAATATATGGAAACATTTTAAAGCATTTTACAAGTGAACACAGTGTAATCTATACAAAGGTTGCAGCAACTTTGACATAGTCATACTACCATTGGAACATTGAGTTGTCTGCAGAAATAAAAGTAGCTAGATAGGGAACAAAGTCAGAGTTAACTATATACCTAGAGATACAGAAATCCTGCGAAATAAATAACCTAATAAACTCGCCAGAGTTTATTGTGAGGAGCCTACATGGCAATAATAGTTTCTGAGTCATATTGAAGCATATGTTAGGTTATGTTAACCCTGCTGATATAATTGCGCAATGCCCTCAAAATAGCCTAAGTGAGGCAAGTAACACTAATAGTTGTTATTTCTGTATACTGTCCTTATAAAACTATTTGGTTTGCCAGATAACCTTGAGATTCGATAAGTCATTTTTTGTTATTTGTGACAAGACATGGAAAAAACAATCTGAATGATATGAAGATCATTGCTCAATATCTGTAGTTTTGGACAAAGATGTATAAAATAATTTATGAAATTTATTTCCTTTTCATTATGACAGCTTCTGTATAACCCACTTATTGGCACATGACAGTACAACGACAGTACATGACAGTACAAGAACTGCATATCTGCTGTAGTACATAAACCGTTTCATTTTACGGCTGTCGAATTTAGACCATAAGGTCATAGCGACTTCACAGTGTTAGCCATTAGACCACAAGTTATTTGTGAAATCCTTTTATGCTCCAAAGTAGTTCGCATATCACAAATTCTAAAAAGGCATTGGCTTTAATTATTTTAGTGCGTCTTTCGGCCATTTAGTAATTATAAGATCAAGAAATCTGTAAAGGCCTCTTTGATATTCTCACAGGTATGATATACTCCAAATTGCATGTGGGTAACTATTATATGAAAAGATTTAAATTTTATTTTGGCTTATAGAATAAGGAACACATAACATAATCACTATTGCATTCAAGCACATATCCAGATACTGTTTTAAAAACTAACATACACTAATACTTGCGATGCGCACTCAATGTCATGCAAAATATGAATATTAGTAATGCTGATTGATTCTTACGGTCAATGGGAATAGATTTCATTAGATTACTTTATACAATAATGGGTGACTTAATGTATCTTTTGGTCGTAATACTTTATATTCTTCTCAATACTACATGACACGTTAGATATATGTTATGAATACTTTCATTCGCATATAACTTCCGCTCGTCTTGTCTTGAGTAAATAAATGGTCAGTAGCTTCTGAGGTTCGACGTTCTTTATTGACATAACTATTAGTTGCCCAAGTGAATTATCGAATTGTTTTCTTATATTTATATTCTTGCTTCAACCATTTATGTTAATTGAAAATGTTTCAGTTCTAAAAAAGACAACAAAAAATTTATATCATACAAGTGTGTAATAAAACTATGGTACTTCGAAAAGAATTTCATAAACACTGGTTTAACTTCACTGCATTCAACTCTTTTTTCTTTTTTCAAACAATTTATAAACGGATTGCTGGTATCTTCAAGTAACCCCATTTTTCCCTGCTTCGCAACGCAAGGGAATATGTGGCACTCATGCGGTGCGGAGCACTTAATATTGTAAATATTAAGGAAATCGCTTTAAATTTCGAATTTGGGCCAATAACGAAAATAAAAAAAATTCATTTAAATATAACTAATAGTTTTCGAAAAGAACTGAAGCAGTCAACTGCCTTTCTGTTACTCCGAGTATTTGCAGTTGTTTTCATTTTTCATCATTAAAGCAAATACTTATGAATTTTAATTGCCACTACACAAAATTAAATATGCTCCGGCTTTTCTTCGTGGAAATAAGCCAAAGGAGTCATATCACTTCACAAATAAACTAACTGCACAATTGCACCGGGAAGAGTGGAAGAATGTGCTGCGTCCAATCTAATTTAGTATAGTGTGGAATGGAATCTCTTTGGCAGCGTATAGTTTGGTCGTGTGGTCGGTTGGTCGTTTATGAGTCTTTGAGCGCCATTGGACGCCATTTTGTGTTTAGCTAAATTTCATTGAAATGTGATTCCCAAAGTTCGCAAGCATCTTGAAACTATTTTTGAAAATTATTTGCAGTTTTCTTTTGGCCTGGATTTATTTGTCTAGAAATTGTTGCTAAACTTTATTTACACTAAGTTTGAGAAACAACTCACAAAAATAACTCAGAACACCCTGAAGTAGTAGAAGCGGAGGAACAGCAGTGGAAGCAGTTGCACCACCGGACCAAGGATCATAGTGGCGGCGATTTTATTTGGAATGTAAGGAGAAAAGCAAAAAACAATACAAACAAATTATGAGAGTTTCACAAAAATTAAATTGTTTCTAAAGTTTTTGTATACTGAAGCGATTTGAAACCGTTTTTCCCTATGTGTAAATGGTGAGCAATGAAAATAAAAAAAAATCACTTAATTTGTCGTTTAATAGAAGCTATGTCTTGAATTCAAAGGCCAATTGTTTGCATTGAGTTGCTTTAAGGTTATTTATTTTTAAATTACTATTTTTACATGAATAATAAATTAACTATATAATGCAGTTGCTGTTATTGTGGCTGTGGCGCCATGGAGCTAAAGTTACCTAGAAGAACAAATTAAGTTTATTAACAGAGTAGTTCAAATAGTTGAATTAATGATGTAGCGTTACGACAGCTCTATCCTACCTTTCAGATCATAGTCAAAGCCATTTAAGCTGTATTGAATCGTGAAATACAGTTGATCTTCTAGTTTAAAGGAAAAGTGTCCAAATGTGGTGTTCTCCTCCGCATTATGTTTATGATGTATTAACATGCCATTGCTTAAATTAGTGCTAAAAATTTTACATATATGAAATGTGTACATCTTAACTTTACAATACTCTATATATGCATTTACGTAATTTCTTGCGAACCATCGTCGTTCTGCTGTAAATCGTGTGTCAATATTTCTAGGGATTCTAAGGTTCTAGTACCAGGTGGTCTGAAAACGGGCAAAGCTACAAGTGGCTCACAGCGACAAGTCAGCTTCTGTGTGAGAGGACAGCTTGTTGGGGGATTCGTAGCAGTTGGCAGCAAAGCCAAGTTACCTAAATTTCCTAAATTACCTAAACCGCCCAAACCACCTAAACCGCCCAAGTTTCCTAAATTGCCCAAATTACCGAGATTTCCCAAATTGCCTAGACCGGGTATAGCACTAACCCATGTACCTAAAACGGGTATAGGTAAATTGTTAGGTGGAGTTAAATTTGGCAGAAAACCGGGTTGTGGCGCGGGTACTGAAGTGGGTGGCAACGGTACGGCAGGTATTGGCACAGCATTGTCGAAATAAATTGGTGTGGCATAAGTCTGTTGTTAGTATGAATTTGATTTTTTTTATATGAACTTCATATTTTATATGAAAACTTTACCAATTGCCTTTTGTTACGCTCCTGCTCCCCATCGGTTTGTTGTGCAGCTGCTTCTGTCAGCTTCAGCTTAACGTTGTTCACATTTGTAAGTGTTGCATCTGTTCTGGTGCATATCCAACACAACAAAAGTATTTTTAATAAAATATTCATTTTGTACGGCCCTTTAGGTAAGTTTCGAAAAAACTGCTTTGGTTTTGATCAAGTCATTGTCTTTTATACTCTGCAGTACGAGTATCCCATTCATACCAAACCCGCAATTTGCTTCAGTTTCTGTGAAAATATTCTCAAATATGCAAATCTGCATATCTCCGAATCTGTTTCATATTCTTTAAATGGAACAATCAGAATTTTTATTACTTTTACGTTATTTAAATGCAAGAAATAACATAAGTATGAGAATTGCACTAAATTATCCAGTGGCGGTTTTAAATCGAAGGAAATAAAATAAAAAAATTCAGAAAGAAATCGTAGTCCATAAGTGAAATTGAAAAATACGTTATGTTCTTGATTTGAATCTATAAATGTTAATTTACTGACTCAAGTGATGTCTGCTTAGTTATGAAAGTACCTAATATGTGAATATAAATGTAAATAAAAATGTCTCACATAGTTGTGAATATGTCAAGCCATATAAAATTACTCATCACTACTATCAAGTACTATATATCAGCAGTTAAAATAATAATGGATTGCTTCTAAGAACTGTTGAAATATAAGACAGATTTTAAGATTAGAAACGATTTGCTGTTCTTTATAATTTATAAGAACACAAATGACTATACTTGACTTTAAAAAATATTTATAGCATTCGTTTCACATTTTCTTTAAATATAATTATTTTTAAAACGGTTATTTATCAATTTGTTTTGCAATTCAGTTTAGTAAATATGTGTATCTTGCGAAATTTCTTGGTGGTACGACATACGGAAGATGGCACAAGTACTGCTTTTTCTATACCTAGTGACACGTCTTTGATATAAACTAACCTATGCAGCTTTAACTATGTCAACTTCAAGCGTTGGAAAAAATGGTGAAAACAGTTTGGTACATGAGGTTGACAGACTTATATATAAATATTCGAATTGATAGTATTGTTACATGCAAACGCTACAAACCACTAAACTTTCTAAACACTACATTCTATGTGCTGAAGACAACTTCCGAGACTACAAATGTGGAACTCAGACAACATCGTATTAAAGATTTCCCGTTATGTTGATAAAGGACTTGAGTATCAAATTCACACACAGGTGAGTAAAGATACTCCAATTACAATCTCGAAGCAACAACAATCTCTAAATGCTTGTTTCAATTTTAATGGTTTATACGTATCACATATCTCATAACTACTCCTTCATATATTATATATGATATGATATTATGATATATTTATATCACAAATATATTAATGAAAAATTGTATTTATATATTACTTCTACTATTACTAGATGTGTAATATTAATAATAATGTGTAACGTTCTCTGATTATACTTAAGAGCAACCCTTAACTTTATTTTATCCATACATTTAAATATTTTAAAGCTCTTTTATATAAAAAGCGTATAGCAATTATAAACAACCGGGTATTATAGTAAGATGTGTCATTTTTTATACAAAATCCATACAAAAATTAGCTAATGAAGAGATACAATTGTAAGTGTAAAATTAGTATTACTAAAAACAACGCTATCATTTCGTTTTCTGTGGTATTACTGTTTTCACTATTGCTATTAATATATAAAATATATACTTATTTGTAGTGACGTGCTTAAGCAGTGAGTGGTTCTGTCTCGAAATCTCTATATAATATAATATATATTTAAATTTATATTTGCGTATTTAAATAATTTTATTTTAAATATAATAATTTGAAATCGAGAGTTTTCTTTAACTGATAACTATATCCAACTTATAACAAAAAGAAAATATTTCGGTTTATGTAAACTTCCTACACTTGAAAAGAATGTTATGAATTCAAATTTTAAAATAAAAAATATTTATTTGTGATATATAATAGGGATTTTCTTTCCGTTTCAAAAAACAAAGGATACATTTTTTAATCCGCTACTGTAGAACTAAATTTTACCAAAATTTTTTTAAAATTTTTATTAAATTTTTATTAGATTTTTATTACATTTTCATTTGGAAATTAAAATTTAATTGCATGCGTGTAAGTTACTCACGCAGTTCTTATGGCTACTCGTGCAGCTTGGAATTCTGGTTCAGCACTCAGTCATGGCACACGAACTTCAAAGCTGAACTGCAAACTCAGAACTTTTTCGGTTCATTGAAATGCTTTTACTGCTTTTACTGCTTTTACAGCTTTCACTGCTTTATGTGTGTAATTTGTAACATTTCGAAAATCAGCAAATAATTAAAAAATGTTACTAATGGGTTCCAACGATAAATGAACACGTTTAAATAAGTCTGGCTTGTCATACGAGCTAAAAATATAATTTAAGCGTTTAAACAAAAGATACTTTAAAGCCAAAGAAACGAGCAAGAATTCAAAAAGTAAAGAAGAAAAAACGTTTGAAGAAAGTTCTTAAGTACACAGTGGCAACACCGCAAGTTGTGCGAAGGGTGCGAGCACTTCAAGGAGTTGTAGGTTGTTGAAAATATTTCTGGGGTTTTTCTGAAAATTAAAGTGGAATTATTATGAAAATGTTTTAAATTATTGTTTAAAAACATGGGGAGAAGAATTCGAAATAAAATAAACCCCTACAGTTGCATAATTGGCAAACTGAATCTGGCAAATCTTTTGTTTAAATTCATAATGACTAAAAATACTCGTAGTTGAAAATATACCTCTTTAAATGTTCTCCACAAGTAGTATATTGAATACAAACAACTGATTCTTTAACAAGTCGATACTATTCAGAGGGTAGGAAAGGAACTAAAACACTTAGTTTAAACATTGTTTTGAGGTTTCTTACAAATAATGTTCAACTAAACCTCAACTAGAACTCTATTTTTCTATATGAAAATATTAATTTTGTTGAGGTTAAACAGCTAATTCTTAATAGATATATTTTCACAGAGACAGTTCTACTTCTAAAAAACTTCAACAAAAAAATGGTAAAACGGGAAAAATTCGCTAGATATGAAAGAAAAGTGAGAAAAAAATATCCGCGGACCAAATGACAGCTATATAAGTCAGGATTAGTAGGAAATAAAAAACAGTGGACCAAATAGCAATTACACATACAAATTAAATTTCGGAATTCAGTGGAGCACATACAACCGTTTATATGGTTATAAGAGAGCAACTTCTCCGTCTAATATGGAAAACCGTTAAAAAGCAATGACATTATACGATTCACTGAAAGTCATCCGTGCGATCCATTATTTAAATAAACAGGAAAACAGTATTTACGACAACAAGAATTCCTTATCAGTTAGGACAAGACACGCGAGCGACAAAAGAATAAGAAAAAAGATATTTGTACATTTTTGAAGACTGTCTAGACATTTACGTGAATTCTTATTACTAATTTAATGAACTTAAATCTATAATAATATCGAGACTAAATGAAGATATTTGAATATTCGAATATTAAACGTCAGCCAATCTTTAATTAGGCAGTGTAATATAAATCTTCAATGTTCAAAATTACAAGATAGCAGGACTATCTACAGCACCACGGAAGTATCTCCTTAAATATAAATAGAGGGAAAAAACTACTGATCTTGTTATGATCTATTTAAGACCTTATAAACTGTATTTCTTGTATTTTCTAATATAATTTACTGTAATTTGAGTAATATTTGACTGAAATATGTTTAAAGAATATATAAATATGAGATTATTTTATGTGTTCAAAATGAGAAGAATAAATTTTATTAACATGTACAAATCTTACAGTGTAAGACTATGTAAATGTAAGGTTATGTTAGGATGGAGTCTATAAAATTAAATATGGAACTGTATTTGTCATGCAGTTTGAAACAAATTATATCTTCGCCACTATATTTGCTTTTTCACTAAAATTGTTTTTCGAACCCTTTAAAGTACGCCCATGTCTATAGCTAAAAAGATTACTTAAGAAAACAAGGATTAATGGTTCGAAAAACGGTAAAAAGTTACTAAAAAAAAGAAATGAAACACATTTTGTTCTTGTGCTATGGTAGGAGTTTGAGTTCGATTGAACCTACTTTCTTGGTATAAATACAAGTGCATTGCCTGCGAAGCGCTTTAAAGTGCTCGGTTATTGCAAACAAAAACTATGGCGCTGAGGCAAATGTCATTTGTTAAAATAACGCTGTTGTTCATTGGAGTGCAGCAATTGGTTGGTGCAGTGCCAGTGCAGATACAGCAAAATGTTGGTGAGCCCGAGAAGTCCTGCAAACTAATTTTTCATGTTGAGAACATAGACGAAGGTCAGCCAAAATTGGTTAATGTTACCGTACCCTCAATGCAGAATCTATTAGTTGCGAATACGCAAAAGATAAATTGTTCACTTGTAATTTCTGCGCCATCCCAGTCAAAAATGCGCAGTGTGGCAGCGGAAACGGAAATGCCACTGGCAGCGATAGATGAGCTAATAAAGCTAGCAAGCGAAATTGATGAGCGAAAAGGCTACGACCAAACAAAACCTCTTTATGAACTGCAATTAACTGTTTGGCCCACAGATGTACAAGATATTGTAGAAGCGGTACAAGCAGCAGTTCCTCAACAGCAAGATATATTACACGATGAAGAACTTATGAACGATAATAGTAGCTCACAAATTCCTTTGTATGAAGAACAGATGGTTGTATTTCCAGAGTTTGATGACACCGAAGATGATACTGAACAGACCGACATTAGTAATAATAAACCAACGAATGTAGTAATTGGGGAACCAATAGAAGTTGTGGAAAGTTTTCATCTGGTGCATCCAAATGGCACAAGCGAATACAAGTTAGTTACAAATAATATGAAGAAATTTGTCGAAAATGTTGTACTATAATCCAACCGAATATTATTTCTAGATTAGTTTTGAATAATGGATTGGTTAATTACAAAAAAATTTACAACAAAATAGTGGGGAATAAGGTGATAACTGTGCAGGAAGGATACGATTCAATACCTATACCTGGACACAAAAATGAATTCCAAACGCAATATTACATAGCCGATGAACATGGTCATAATGTATACAGAGGTAATATCA